TTTTTCCCCCCCCCCCGGAAAGTAAATCGGTTTTTTGCCCCCCCCCCCCCCTAGAAAGTTTTCTGCGGGTGCCCATGCCCCACACCCTCAAAATTCGAGCCTCGTTCTGTACGAAATGGATGCACAAACGTGTAAAGGAAAAGCAGCGCCCTGGGCGAATGCGCACCCTGATATTGATGTCCCTTGCGAGTACCACCTTTACATTGCTGTGCATGGATCCAGTGGGCTAGTATAGGCCAAAACGTGCCAAAGTGTCCTCGTTTTATAACCATTTTAATTGTTTCTATAGTATAGTTACTTTCCTAGTGTCTCATTTTAATTTTACTTAGTTTACATGTTTTTAATAATTGTAAAGCGCTTAGAGCTTTAAGGTAAGCGCTATATAAAAATGCCTATATAAATAAATAAATATCAAAGTAGATAGATCTATAAAATGTTAAAAAAGTTATTTAAATCTAAATATATCCAATTGGGCAACTTTTATAACTTATCTTTGAAGACAGAAGAGTTCTCAATGTTTTTCCCACAATGGCGTCGTACATGACAAAAGATTCATGAACTGTAGGCTACCTTTTTTTTTTTATCTTGTTCAATTTTGTTAAATGGATATTGTACATGAACAAAAAGACGCTATTTTAGGCCTTTAGTTCCATCAGGTGAAGAGGAAGTTTTAATTTTATATCACTGGAAATAATTAATCGTGCTTAGGCCTCCTTAAGCCTTGGCCTTGGCCTTAATCTTAATTTTACCTTACCACCGGCACATGTTTTTATATTGTTGCTTAACTTTTACTTTACCCTTTACAGTACTTTACTTTTCCTAATTTAGGCGTGCTAGAAGGCTGGCACATAATTCACATGTGTGTGGGGGGGGGGGGTTGGATTATTTTTATAACATGCTAATCAGTATCAGTGTCATTAGTCCTCTCCATTTTCCTGTATGCCTGCGAATCCTGGACATTAACAGCCGATCTTGAAAGGAAAATAAAGGTGATGGAGATGAGATGCTTCAGAAGCATTTTTGGCACCTGCTATAGGGACCATATCTCCAATGAAACAGTGAAAGAAAGGGTTCGTAGGCCATTGGGGAGTACTATGACCTACTGGTTTCTTTGAAAAAATGCAAACTACAATGTTACGGCCACGTAACAAGGAAACAAGGGCTTGCCAAAGAAATATTGCAGGGGACCACAAGAGGAGGGAGAAGAAGAGGAAGACAAAGAAAAAGATGGGAGGATAACATCAAAGAGTGGACAGGACTAACACTGGGCGATGCAGTGGGTAGGGCTGAAGACGGAGAGGAATGGAGGAGGATGGTTCACATGTCATCTGTGACGCCCCAACGGTCCAAGGACTAAGGGACATGAGGATGAGGAGGATGGTTGTACGCCGAGACCCGCCAATTCTATGATTTTCAGAGACTCTGTGAAAAAATATTATGAAGAGTTTGATAGGCATCAGCATGATTATGATTATGGTAATTTTTTCCGATAAAATAAAATACATTTTTGGTTGTTGAAGTTTTAGCACTTTCTAATAAAGATCTGGCAGTGAATGGAACAAGAAAAACGATTGGTTGTAATATTTTTTTAAAGTATATTTTATATTATGTTATGTACGCACTGAGAGGGGAGGTGGGGGTTGTTGATTAAGGAGATTTTGCATATGAGACGCTTGGGGCTAATGGTAGTTGGGGATGCCACGACGTCTTTTTTCGGTGTTTACATGTGGGAGTCACTTCCCTTTGTTTATTTTTAGATAACTAATATTTTTATGTATTAGTATTAATTCGCCAGAGGAATGTTTAATATTATATTGTATTTGTTTCTTTTGGGTTTTATTTTCATAATAAATGAAAAAAAGAAATATAATTTTTAAATATAGACATGAAATTTTATTTTATGTTCCATTTTAACAAAATGGGGAGAAATTATTATTTTTTGTTGGGTACTTTATAATGATGCGGATATAGAAAGGATTTCTTAAATATTACGTCTGTTGCTATTCTTGATTGCTTGACCGGGTGCTCGGTAAGTTCAAAATTGGTTGTTGTTTTTTTGCATCGTCAGCAGTTTTAGTTAGATAGATATTGGGTAAATTTATGCAGATGGAGCCTGAATTTAACGCCCGTTTTTGGAATCGTTTGGAAAGTCAGGGCGAAAGGAGTGTGATAGATTGGCTCATGAGTACGGGTCTCATTGCAGATAGATACGAATGTCCCCATTGTAAGAAGGTATGAACTTGTGTGCATGGGCAAATGCTTCAGGTGAATTTGCATGGCAATGTGGTGACAAAAGTCATGGCAATATTGTGCATAGTTTAAGGAAGGGGTCGTGTTTTAGTGACAGTAGATTGACTTGTGACATTATGTTATTGACACATTTTTGGTTAAGAAAAATGCCTTTGGGACATA